TATATATATATATATATATATATATATTAAACATTCATTATATTTTACATTTCATATTCATAAATAATATATAAATATAAACATAACTTTCGTAAATAGATATACTTGCAAAAATTATCTCTTATGAGATATTTCTCATTATATTTCTTATTATATATATATATATTTCTTACTATATATATATATATATATATATATGTAAATATATAAATTTAACATTTATTATATTTTATATACACATATATACAGGATGTTCCAGGACTGAATCACCAAATTTAAAATATAAATTTTGGATCTCAAAATAAACAAAATTTTCCTCTGGATGTTTGGCAAACGCTTCGTTTAAGAGATATTAACTTCTTAAATTACAGAACTATTGGAATGAATAATATCAAATTCTAGATCTATTCTAGATAATATCGAATTCTTATCTTCGTTATTGCTTTGCAATAATCAAAATATAATTAAATGTATTGTTCAAAATAGTAGCCTCTAACTTTGAGACAAGCATTGTCTCATCTATTGATGAGAAAATGAGTGACTGACTGAAATTGTGCATCTGTAATTTCTTTGCACGCTTGCATTATCCTCCGCTTTAATGATTAAAGGTCATTAATTATTTAATTTATTTATTAATTAAGTATTTCAACATTATTCATCCCTATAATTCTGTAACTTAAAAATCTCTTATTATCTCTTATTGTTACGCAAAGCATTTGTGAGCAAATTTCCAGAGAAAAATTTTATTTGTTATATGTGTGTGTATATATATATATATATATATATATATATATATAAATATAATGCGCGCACATGCACACACACACGACGCAATTTTTTTAAATATAAAAATATGCTTACCAGCCATTTTCTTTCTTAGAACACTTCCACTTCAAGACTTTACCAGATACAGCAGCTGAGGATTGCAGAATATTTGTCGCATTGTCACCTGCTCTTTCCCATAAAACAATGTCTTTGAACAGATTATCTTGATCTTCACATGAGACATCTCCATCTGTTTTTAATCTTTCGGACTGTATTTTTTTGAAACATGACTGTGTTTCTAAGCTATCAAATGATACATCTTCGAAATATGTATCTGTTTTTAATCTTTTAGATGGTATCTCCTCGGAGTGTGGCTCTGTTTGTAATCTTTTAGACGGCATTTCTTTGAAATATCGTCTAGAATCAGTGTCTTCACTAGACTGATAGTCGGGACTGACTGCGTTGGATGCACGTTCTTTCGTAGCATTAGGAAGCGATTTTTTTTCAGTGTTAAGTTTTTTACTTTTTTTGGAACGTTTTTTACGAGATTGACCGGTAGAATTGACTGTGTTTGGTACAGGATGATTAAACATGGACGATGTAGATTCTTCTGTGAGAGTAGACTGACAAAATGCAATCATGTTCGAAATGTATTCATGATCGTTTGTAGCAGTAGGAAGCGATTTCTTCTTGTTAAGTTTTTTATTTTTTTTAGAACATTTTTTACGAGACTGATCGGTAGGATTGACTGTGTCTGATATATGATTAAGCGTGTTCGGGGTAGCTTCTTCTGTGACAGTAGATGTTTTAGCAGTGCATCCTGTATATATAATATCTCTCATATAATTATCGCATAGACACGTTATCTCGTCACATAGATCACAAGTCATATTTAATAGACACATAGCGCACGTAATAAAGTACGAAAAAAAGAAAAAAAAATTACATGTGTTACAACTCACAATTTTTCTTTATACCTTTCACCTTAGAACTCGCCGCCTCTGACGCTTCCACAAACGTTCTTTGTAACTTTTTCTTTTGCTTTTCTCTATATTCGGCCGCGACGTCCTGCGACAATTCTTCCACCAAATCCATTGTTTCCTGGGGATATCTGCGAAGAGTTTACGGCAAACTTGTAGCTAAGAAATATCTAATATTCATCAAGTTAATCATATATGTGATATATGTAAAGACGCAAGAACAACACGTGTCTTCGTCAGGTTGCATCGCTACCTGCATCCTAACAGTTCGACATTGACGAACACTTGGGCCAAACAAACGAGCGTATCCTCCGGGAATTTCTCCTTGTGGGCCAACAAAAATTTACGTCGCAGCTCCCAGTGCTCGTCAGACTCGTACTCCACTTTGTGCAGCTCCACATCCCAATCCTCGTTCACGCTCATCCTTTGCTTGTAGACGACCGTCTCAAATCTCTAGCTGTAGGATGCCAATTAACCTCTTTTGATTAATACACGATTTTTTTGAGATACGTGTAGAAGACAATGATTAATCTCTAACTTACTCTCCTCGCACAGATTAAAATTTCTTTTTTTAATCTGGAGTTTCTTGTCCTTTTTAGAAGATCAACTCAGCAAAAAAATAGAATATATTTGTTTACTAAAAAATACAGGACGATTCACGATACGCTCCTCTCGTATTAGATCGGAAACTCACAAAAAATCTTGTGTCCACGACGCACGTGGCGACTCCAAAGAATAACTAAAAGAAGCGTGAGTTGTTCGATGACCAATTGCTTCTCTGCTTTTTCAAATAAGTGGTAGAATTGGCGAGACGTGATTGATTGGTTGTCGCGATCTCGAGATATATAATTTTTAACGATCATTGCGACACGAGCTTGCTGAAGTGGTCTAGACACCGAGATACTATTTAGTCCCGAAACACAATAGATGTAGTAAGCCTTAAGCTATGAGAAATTGACCAACCGTAATCGATTATTCTCTTCACACTCGACTGCGATTGGTCCATTTACGGCTTAAGGCTTACTACATCTATTGTGTTTCGGGATATGATTTCATGCTGACGCTCGACGCTCATTTTTAGCGTCAAAACAGATCACATGATCAAAATTGACGAATACTGAGCATCAATTTTGATCATGTGATCTGTTTTGACGCTAAAAATGAGCATCGAGCGTCAGTATGAAAAGACACCTTTAAGGTCCATCTACAATGAGAGTAGTAAATCGTAAGCCGTAAGAAATTCACCAATCACAGTCGAATATGAGAAGAATAATCGACTGTGATTGGTAAATTTCTTACGGCTTACGACTTACTGCTCTCATTGTAGATGGACCTTTATACTGTGATCTAGGACTCTAGGTGTTATAAGCCTTAAGCCGTAAGAAATTCCAATCCAATCACAGTTGAATTTGAAGAGAATAATTTATGATTGGTCAATTTCTTACGGCTTAAGGCTTACTACATCTATTGTGTTTTGGGACTAAAACCGGTTCTACATTAGTTGCAAGTCGATCGCAAGCTTGTTGCGACAGTCAATCCGAAGCATTGATTTTAAAATGCAAGCTTCAGATTGGCTGTCGCAACAAGCTTGCGATTGGCTTGGAACTAATGTAGAACCGGCTTTAAGAAATAAGGCATAAAAAAGTCAACCAATCCTTCAGAGTCCTTCATTTCTTATTTACATTGTGTTCACAAATAAATAATGTGAAAATTACAAAAATGAATAAATTTACTAGATATTGGCCAATATAATTAAAAATATCCTAGTGAATTTGCTCACTTTTGTATTTTGTATATAATTTTCATCTTATATAGCGTTTTAAAGGGCAAAATCTCAACTTAAAATTTTTTAAGATAATACTTTTCGTCCCGTCAAACTGTTTTTTTCGTGAAAACCGAAAACAGGTTCATGTTAGAGTTCTTTTATCTATATATATCCATTTTTTTGTAAAATTTTTTTTTTTTAAATGAGAAGGTATAAATAATAATTAAAAAAATCATTTTTACGTTGTTTCTTGGACAAAAAATTTAAAGAAATAAAAAAAATGCCCACAATATATATAATCACATGAATCATTTTTTTTATTTTTTAAAACTTGACTTACACACACACACGCGCACACACACACACAACGTGCGTTGTGTGTGTGTGTGTGTTGTATACCCTGATAACAAAATGTTAGCAGTTTGCTGGAGATTGGCAACAAATTCGATCAGATTGCATGTAAGAAAAAAAATATATATGTTGTATATATATTGTATAGATTTATATATTTATATTGTATATATATATATATATATATATATATATATACATAATCTCTCACACAGAAAAATTTTTGATCGAAATATTACTCTGCATGTAAAAATATCAAGATAAAATAATTTAAAATCTTATCTTGATACTTTTATACGTAGAATAGTAAGATGAATAAAAATTAAGTTGATATTGAAAAGAATTAAAACATATAGATTAAAAAAAAAACAACTCGTGTAATATACAATTAAATTTACTATATATTATTCGTGAATCAAATCACAAATTATCGAATGTACAATGCACATTAAATTAAATATTCGCTTATTATATATAAATATACAAGAAAAAATGTTATTCAACAATCAAATATTTTCCGCATTGTATATGTAAATAGAGATCAGAGAATTAACGAAGCGAGAGAAAAACGTGATCGTGAAAGTGAAAGTCGTTGTAAGTCGTCTTGCAAACATCAAGCCAAAAATATTAATAACACGTGCGATATACACAGGTATATATCATTGACAGAAACCTTGGGGGAACTTGTTTCGTACACGAATCGTATACGCATTATTGCCGTTCGCCGGAACGGGATACACAAACGTCGTCGCGTATAGTTGCCCACGGGCCGTCACTGTTTTTTTTATACGTTTCATTCGCGAAAGTGCGTCAATTTTGTGTATCGCACCTCGATCTTTGTGCAACATATTATATCCGAGAGGAGTCACGCCGATTCTTGCATAAATCTCTGCAGGACGTTCGCGTTTTCGTTGAGGCCTCAACAGCTGCAGAGCAAATTGCAATTCCGACAGTTTTTTTATAAACTCGTGCTGTGCGCAACGCGCGCGTTTATCTGGCGAGGAGAGACACAATCGCTCGCCCAACCAACAGCTTCCGTTCGCCACGCTTGTCGTCGCTTATACGTATGTTTAACGTTGCTTGACAATCGCAATTTTACTCTCGTCGAGACGAAAGATTGTCGCTTCTGCAATATTCGATCGAATTCTCGTGTGTTCTTACGCCAATTTTTATACGCGAGACACAAACCAGTCGTGGACGTTGGCAACAGCAACCCCGACAAAGCGTATCGCGTGGACTATGAAATTACGTTGCGTAATGATGACATCCGTTTTTACGTGCGGCGTGCAGAAAAAATACTCGCGCGGTATCCTCACTCCGGAAATTCGCGCAACGGAATGCCCGAAAGCGCAATAACTCGCGTAGCACGAGATTTTCTGCTGATGTAATCAGTTGTAACCTCCAATTGTAACCTCCTGCGTTTTCGGAAGTAACGGAAAAAGTTCGAATTCCGCTTGAAAGTCAATCGTTTGCACCTGTACGAAAGCCTCGCAAATTATGTTCCGCAGAGCGCCGCGCGCGCGTTTGTATGCCGACTAATTTAAGTGTTCGTTTTAACAATGTGTTTTCAAGATGGTAATGAACTCGCGAGCATCCCGCTGAGGCACAATGTCGGACGATAACATGCCGCACATCTCCTACGGGCTTGACAGCCGCGGAAGGATAGTGCGTATCGAGTCGGGCATAACCAGGGCCAACATCAGACGTCTTCCGAGCATAGAGGAGGCTCTAAGGAGGCTCAGCACAAATTTGAGATCCGATAGACAAGCTGCCGACCCTAACAATGGTAAGGCAAACGTACCAGTGTATCTATAGCTGAACAAGCACACAAAAATTTATTTTTTAATGATTTTTTTCATAATATTATAATTTAATTGCAATCTTTAAATATTTTTACAATTAAATTTTGATATTATAATAAAAAAAAGTATTTGAGATAATGGATTAAAAAATTTTGTGTACGTGTTCAGATATAGATACACGTTCAGCCACTGGAACGTTTACCTTAATGCATAGCGTGTGAAAAATTCTTTTATCTGATACACAGAAAAACTACTATGTATTTTTTTTTTGTAACAGAAGTATCCGATTCTCAAGCTACGCCACAAATAGCATCGCTGGAGGAGGATAGCTCTCAGAATGCGTGGGACGACATAACGGATCATGAACTGTCTGTTGATATTACTGATGGGGCGTCATCGCCAAATCAAATTACGTCTAGTGTGCCATCGTTGACTCCAGAGGAAGAGTAAGTTCACGCTTATTGTTTAGAGCATTTATGTATTTCATGTATGTATGCAGAGCTGGGCATATTTCAAATACTTGTATTTGGAAATACAGTATTTGAAATACAATTTGTATTTTGTATTTCAAAAAAGTTATTCAATGTATTTTGTATGTCAAATGTGCAATTTCAATCTATTTTGTATTTGAAATACAATAAAGAAATTATTAATACAATAATAAAGAATTTATACAGTAATAAAGAAATTATTGATAAAAATTCTTGACAATAATTAATAGCAATTTAAATTTTTTTTATATGACAATTAGCGATACTAATTATTTTCGTCAAGTTTCAAGCAATATCAAGTCATCAGAGTCAAATTTCATAATCTCACATTAGTAAATAGATTTCTCATGCGGTTGATACAAGACAATAGAACTGTTAAAGAGTGAAGAGAGTAAAACAACTTTTCTTTCTCTAAAAGTGGAGAGAGGACTGTTGGAGAGGAGAGCTTAACATTATATATTATTGTAATTGAAAGATTGAATTAAAAAGTATTTTGTATTTCAAATAAACTTAAAAGTATTTTGTATTTCAAATCGAGAGATTGAAAGTATTTTGTATTTTGTATTTCAAGTCGAAAGATTGAAAGTATTTTATATTTTGTAATTCAAATACTAAGATTACCAGTATTTTGGATTTTGTATTTTAAATACTTTAATGATGTATTTTGCCCAGCCCTGTATGTATGTATGTATAACAATAATAAAGTCCATAAGTAAATACAATTATATATTCCAATCTTGTTGTATTTATTTATGCACTTTATTTATTATTGTAGGATGTTTATTAATAATAAATGAAATAATAAACATTTATTAACAATAATAAATAAAGTGCATAAATAAATACAACAAGATTGGAATATAATCAAGTTTATACACACATAATCTTATCATTATATATATACTTTTTTAAATCAAGAGAATGTGCGTATCAACTTGATTATATTCCAATCTTATTGTATTTATTTATGCACTTTATTTATTATTGTTAATAAATGTTTATTATTTCATTTATTATTAATAAATATTTTTCAAGCTTTTGTATATCTCTTTTTAACTCTAAAAACAAATTACAGCGATTGTTGTTTGACATATTCTATATCAATTTCTAATGTTGCTCTTTTTATCCAGCAGGCGATACTGTTGGGTATGTTTTGCAACTGATGAAGATGATGCGACTGCTGCTTGGGTTAAACCATGTCATTGTCGGGGTACTACAAAATGGGTTCATCAAGGATGTATTCAGAGATGGGTCGATGAAAAGCAAAAGGGTCATGCTGGACATGCTGTGGCATGTCCACAATGCAATACAGAATATATTATAGTTTATCCAAACATGGGTAAATATATATATGTATATATTATTACATATATATGTATGTATGTATTATATGTATTGGGCGATCCGGAAAGTTCTCACATTTGCGCGGATATCAGTTTGAATTTCGTGCTAATACTGAATGAGAAAGCTCTAACTTCAAGTTGATAAGAAAGAGCAATCTTTTGTTTAAACATGCATTCATCCATAATGGTATATGTTCGATTTATTCGAGTCTATAATGACCTAAAGATGGAGAATCGGAAACAATATTTTCGCAATATTATGGTTTTACTACTTGAGAAATGGCAAGAATGCATGCGTGACAGCGCGCAAAATTTGTAAAGTTTACGGACAAGGTACTATGCCTGATGATTCAGTTTGGAGGTGGTTTGTGAAACAAGGTAATTTCACTTTCAAAGACGAGGCGCGATCTAGACGCTTCTCTGCACTGTGAATGATGATCTGCTGGAACAAGCTTCGCCAAAAATCTTCGTTATACAGTACAAGAACTGGCGGAGAAATTATAAATTGCAAAAAGTACCGTACATGACCAATTTGAATCTGTCCCCATGAGTGAAGACCGCAGAACTTTCCGGGTGACCCAATATTATATGACATTGTTGTATTTATTAGAAATATATCTATATTATAGTGATATTATATTTTTTGCACATGTAGAGTATCCTACATGCAAATTAATTGCAGGTCCATTAGTGGTGGTGCTCGATACGATCGATGCAGTTATCTTCCGAGTATGTCCTTTCATTGCTGCTGGTATTGTAGTTGGATCCATATATTGGACAGCTGTAACTTATGGTGCGGTGACTGTTATGCAAGTGGTAGGTCACAAGGACGGGCTCACCATGATGGAACAGGCCGATCCTTTAGTTCTACTAGTTGGATTGCCGACCATTCCGATTATGTTAGTTTTGGGAAAAATGCTTCGTTGGGAAGATCAGGCCCTTAGTTTTTTGAGGCGACATGCATCCAAAGTTCCTATTTTAAGGCATTTTCTACCGAGCAGGTTTGTATCAACATCATTTATATTCCAACGTAACCTTTTATTTTTTATTGCAAGGAAATCTAATATTTATTTATATTTTTTTAAATAGTACATATCACGTATAATGTTCTGTTTGTAGAGAAACATTAGAAATTTCTAGATATATTCTGAAATGTGAAAAAAAAACGTTTAGCTGAGTTTATTAATTTTCAAGAATACACACGTCTTATGGTCAATATTTTGCACATTTCTTAATTATAAATCAGTCTTTATTCTATATGTAAAAATGTAAAGATAATGTTTGGTAATTATTGAAAAATGAATAGTTGCAACATACATTTTATTTTGATTACATATAAAATATGAATATTCATTTTTCGTTGACTTTATTCTAATACGAATAAGGACAATTGAGTTATGTAAAAAAATAATTATTTAAAAAATAGTTTAAATTTTTCAAAATATGCCTTCATTTATTATAAAAAAAAAGACCGTTCTAGAAAATCCAGACTTTATATTTTAAAATTTATTAGAAGTAATAATTTCTAGGAATTCATTCTCTTTATGTAAATGTTGGAAGATAATTTAACAGTTTTCACAAATAAATTTGAGAGCGCTTTCTACGATCACGGTTCTTGCCTAATAAATTCTATATGAATTTTTAATTCCATTATTCAACCGTTAAAGCTGCGCGCCGAATCAATTTCGAACTTGCAACGCAATCATTAGCTGAGGCTGGAATAGCGAGATCACATTTGATCTTCAATTCTTAATAAATCAATGCTTATAAGTATCTTAAAATACTGAAAAGAACTTATTGCCAAAAATACTCTGGCTGAGGTAATATTTTTCGCAATAAGTTCTTTTCGATAATTTAAGATGCTTATAAGCATCGATTTATTAAGAATTGAAGATCAAATGTGATCTCGCTATTCCAGTCTCAGCTAATGATTGCGTTGCAAGTCCGAAATTGATTCGGCGCGTAGTTTAAACGGCGCTTGAATAATGGAATTAAAAAATTCATATAGAATTTATTAGGTACCAAGATCCAGCTGAACTCGAAAAGTAGAAGGCGCTCTCAAATTTATTTATGATATTCACATACGCGACATAGTTCAAATTATCGTGTATTCAATTAAAATAATAATATTTTTAATATATATAACTTACAGTTATACCGACGAAGACAACACAAGTATACAATCTGAAGATATACCACCAATGAATGATCCGGTATCTGCAACGCGTGTTCTTTGTGGCGCACTTTTACTACCAACCATTGCTAGTCTATGTGGAAGGATATTCTTCGAAAGCATAAGTTCCAATTTTCAGAGAACATTACTGGTACGTGTATTAATTTAAATTATAAAAATGCTATCACAAAATGTATTATTCTTAATATACAAAACGATTTGTATACATTTGATTAAATGTCGAGAATTAACATTATTCTTTTTGTGACTAAAGAATCGTCTCTAAGTTGCTATTATATAATTCATAGCAAACAATAGTCATTTTTTATACAGAAGTAGTTTCCTGTTATGTGCGTATAACTTTTTATAACATATTTTTTCTTTCTTGTATTTTTAGGGTGGTGCAGCTTTTATAACAATAAAAGGCGCGTTCAAAATTTATCATAAACAACAACAATACAAGAGACAGTGCCAGCGTCGCGTAATGGACTATACAGAGAGCAACGTAGCATTATATAAAAGGCAACAAGACTCCGAGAGTGATCGAAGTTAAATAAAATAACAACGAATGTTTGAATGTCGATTACAGTGTGGATATAACTTTTCAATGTAAAGTAGATCAGCGCATTACAATAGCGATATTTGAATACATAAACATCTGGCAGATGTAATCTTCAATATTATATATATATATATATATATATATATATATATATATATATACACAGGGCGTTCACAAAGTTTATTTACTTTGGAAATGATTATGAAAAATTGCGAAATACGTATTCAACTGTTTCGAGGGACTACTCTTTTAAGGGGTTTAGGATGTTATCCCTCCAGTGTGCTGCTCCAGAGGGGCCTCACCTGAAAAATTTTAAATGGAACCCTTATTTTTTATTGCATATTCTTGTAGCTTATCTCGATAGCTTGTCAAAACACTATAATAAAATATTTTTACATTAAGCACTTTTCGAGTTATAAAGCTTGAAAGTTTCATTACTGCCAGCATTATTGCAGGTGTCCGAACAATAGCTTGAAACCTTTTGAATTTTGTTCAAGATCATGGCCTTGACAACATGTGTCAAAGTCAAAGCCATTAAAGCTTGTTGCTCTTATTTTAATATTTGAAATTGTTTTTATTTTTTGAAAAAAGAGGAACAACCTCCAATAATCATGATCTCGACATTTATTTTGCCAAACTCATGATCCTCAACATTCAAAAGTAAATTGTAACCCGCTCTATTATCATTACTTAACATTCAAAAGGTTTTAGCCGTTGTTCGGACACCTTGAATAATGCTAATGCCAGCGGTACTGTAACTTTCAAGCCTTATAACTCGAAAAGTGCTTAATGGAAAAATATTTTATTACAGTGTTTTGAAAAGCTCTCGAGATAAGCTGATAAAAATATGCAATAAAAAATGAGAGGTTCCATTTAAAATTTTTCAGGTGGGGTCTCCCTTGGAGCAGCACATTGGGGGCAATATCTTCAACTCCCTTAAAAGAGTCCCTCAAAACAGTTGAATACGTTTTTCGCGATTTTTCACAATTTTGAATCGTTTCCAAATTTAAAGATGGTAAGAGATTCTGTGGATGCCTTGTGTGTATATGTGTATATATACATACATACATTATATATATATATATATATATATATATATATATATATATCCATGCGGTGATCATAATACAGATGGAATAAAGAAATAGTTGTACATAAGTATACAAAAATAAGGATTATTTGAGCGAGGTCGATGATTAATTTAGGATTGTATTTTCCAAAAGATGAATGGTGTTGGGCAATGTAAAGGTGACATCTCCTTTAAATCAACATTTAGAGGAACAGTACTTTTTAATAATTATATTACACGGGTAATACTTTCTACAATCTTCCTTGCATGATAAAAAAAAATGAAAGAAGTAATTATACGGTCCTTTTCTTTATGTTTCTTTAGTGTTTTCTAGTGCTTTAATTAATCTATTAATGATCATTATTTTTGAATTTTATATTAATAGTAAAAATAAACTCAAGTATTATTGCAGAGAAAAATTTAATGTAACAAATTGCTATGACAAACGTTTGTTACGTAAAACTATTTACTGTGACTCTAGATACGTCTACAGAATGACATCTATATATAAATATTATATATATGTGTGTGTATGTGTGTATGTATACGATGTATATGTATATGTATATATGCGTACATATATATACATATATATCTATACATAAATATACTACATTAAAATTAAGGTTTATGAACTATATTTTGTAATCTAATCTCACATGTAAATGCTGTCATAAAGTAATCTTTGTAGCAAATATTAAAAAAAACCATGATTATTTACTCGTATAAATTCAGTGTTCATATAGTTACATCTATAATCTGTTTCATATATTATGCATTTATGTTTTGAAATAGTGCTGAATATTCAAAAAGTCGCAAATTATCCAATCCATATACTTGGCTATTACTTAAAATTAATAAATGAATAATTATAATAAAATTTATAATATATATTATAATATATATATAAATTATAATAAAAATTTATAATATATATATTATAATATACATATAAATTATAATAAAAATTAAAATCAATAAATCGCTTAGTACTTAATAATCACACAAAAGATTGAATAATTATTAACTTGTCTACAAGAGAATGTTTCGAACAAACATTGTGTCTTACAATGATTCTGTGCGTCAAATATTATGTTATAATCTTTTATTTTGGATTATTTTCTAGATAAAAATATTTGAGTACCTGATTTACTTTAAAATAAATTATATACGAAGAATCGAGTAGTCAGGTATTAATAGTCCCATTTTTTTAATAAGTTTATTCTTTAATAGCTTTTTCAACGATGTTCCAATATACACTGTCAGCACTGAAAATCTATAGTATATGTAACGTAAACCATAAGTTTTCAATACTGGTAGTGTACATCGGAACGCAGTCAATGTGTCGATTAACTTCAACTATATTTTAATAGAATTAATTCCTCTTTTTCCTAATTAAATTTAACACAAGTCTTACAAAATATAAAATATTGTATATTATAAACCAATTCATCTAATACAATTAACAATAAAATATACCTTCAAATATAACTAATACGTAAAATTCCTAGGGAAAGATTCTTAGTAACAGAAATTTTTTATACAAACATGTTTATTTAACAGATTTCTTGAAATTATTTGCAAAAATGTATGCAGTTTTTAAAAAATATTTAAGGAAAAAGTCCTGTTATAAAAATAACAGGACGAAACTTTATATTCCTTTTTTTCATCACTGAATTAACATATTTAAGACATCTTTTATTTTTTTTTCATATGATTACATTTGACTGACGTTTTTTTTTTTTAAATAAGCTCTGAATTCTAATTATATAAAGGTATTTTTTTACAACTTCAATTGCTCGTAACTTTTGATAAAATTATAATTTATTAAAAACGCAATCAAATTATATATCATTTCTGAAAAAATTTTTTTTAATTTCCAGAAATCAGTTTAACATTTCTAAAAAAAAGGAACATAAGGTTAAAAAAATAATTTTATAGGAAAACACTTAATGCTATTATCCTTTTTTTCTTTATCTATTTCAAATTATAAGTAGAAGGTGCCATGAAATAACAAATTTAATAAAATTAAAAATAAGTTTTTTAAATTATTTCTGCATTCGTTTCTGATCATTCAAACTATCAGAGAATTATAATATATTTAATCTTCTTTTTAAACATATCCAAGAATCATTTTCTGTAACTCAAAAATGTGCGATTAAATGTAAGCAATATAATGTTTTTTATGTAACAAAAGGATGTTTTTAACTTCAAAATTACTCTCTAATGCAACAATTATATATATTATATAACCTTATTAAATATTTAAACTTCAAAATAAAAAAAACTTTAAAGTAATGTATTTTTTCTAATCACGAAAATATTCTTAAATTTTAAGAACATCACTTTCGAAAATAATATATACAGAAATACGTTTTTTTTTCAATTACGAAGTTTTGAAATTTACTAACAATTTATTAATATTTTAAGAATATCATAAGAAATTCCTTTTATCATCTTTTCTATTTAAGTTGTAAATAATTTACCTGTTTTTGAAATCTATATGTGACTTCTTTATACTATAATATGTATATATATTATATCTCAAAAAAATATTACCGATACGAATTTATTTTACAATCTACTTTGCAACAAATGATCAATACTTTTTAAATTGCAAATATAAAAGGGGAATACAAGGAATATATTATTTAAAATATATATTTTTGATCAAAAAAACAAAATTTTTATGTATAACGCTTTATATTACAATAAAAATAGATAACAGTTAAAGCGATATGCAACAAAATGTACAACTTTTTCTTACAAAGTAAATGTTACAAATGAAAATAAGTATATTAATTTTCCTACACTTGACTTTGAATTCTAAATCTTGCTAGAAACGATCTTAAATCAAAATATATCTGTATCGGGAACCAAGTCAAATACTCAAAGTGTACTTTTTTCTTGCATTATTTTGCGTGGTTTCAACCGTTCGCTTATATGTCCACATTTAGAATGAAATAAAATCGAGAAAAAAGCGCGTACTGAACTATGCGTAGTTTTTTAGAACTATAGCTTTCTAAACTATAATTTATAGCTCGAAAAGTAATCCGAGAAAGATAGCTTTGATAAAGAAAAATACGCAAGTATCCCTCTCCTTTTTTAATGAAGTTTTAGATATGCTGCAATACAGATCAAAATAAATATGTATTTTTTTTTCACAAATGTGTCAATAATTCTCTATCTTTCTCATAAGGCACTTCAGTAAGCGCTCTTTATACCAAGTAAATTCGGCCTTGTTTATGTTCTTGGAGCTTATATTCTATACAATTCCTCAATAGAGTAATAACGAAATGTTTTTTCCAATTAAATATTCAGAGTTGCAGGACCAGCAATCTAATCTGGAATTTTTTACTTTACAGACAATAATGCTCTATCATTGAGCTATTCAATGCTCCATTTTCCATATTTTCTTACTCTACATATGGTGATTACATAGTTACTTCGTAAGTGTGTGAAATACTGAATATCAAAGTGGAAGTGTAAAGAACAGCAAAATTTGATTATGAAATCTGTTCTATAATAAATCACACGCCTTGTCGGATGTCGGGCGCATGCGATTTAATAGAGCATCTAATTAAATATTTTATAAATTGCTTGATTGGGTCCAGATATAACATGCGTTCCAAAAAACATCTAAAAAAATGTTTTTGAGATTTTTTTCAAACTTTACTTTTATTAAATGTATACGCAGTTACATAAAAATTTTTTCGATTAAAGTTTTTTGTTTAAAAAAATTTACATCATGACTTAACAAAAGTTTCAATTTTATTTTTGAAATATTTTTAATAAGTTTCTTTAATAGATTAATGTGTCTATTTTATTATAGTTTTGTAAATCTATATTTTACGACAAAAATTCAATAAGATGCAATAATGTGTGATTTTTAAAAGAGATTATATTGTCACACTCATGTGTGTTGCTTTTAATAAGACAAAATAAAACTATCATTAAAAACAATTGGTCCATTACCATGAAGTAGGATCAAAAAATAATCCCAAATAAGGTGTTATAAAAACACTTTATAAAGATATTTTACATTTTACAACAATATCTCAAAGATATAAATTGGAACGTAAGACATTTCAAAAGCATCGTAATGACATCTTTCGTTCAAAAAAATATTTTCAAAATGTAAAGATATATCGTAATATTCTCTGAGATAGACATAATACAGATAGATCGAGCATAAAACGCAAGACCTGAATAACATGTAAAAAGAAAAACGACCGTTCGCAATCTCTTTTTAAACAAAAAAATCTTTAGTAACATCTCATATATAAGCATAATTATCCATGATGTCATTATGTAGGTATGAATGAAAGAAAGAAAGATACAGTTATATTTTCTTTCTTTATTTACTTTAGCTTTCCCACTAAAGCATTATCGGCAAAAAATCGCTCGATCTACTTATTTAGCGAATTCGGCAGATATGCATTCTCTAACCAGTTTTCTAAAAAAAAAGATTACTATGCATGAAAATATCTAAGTACAAAATATAAATGCATTGACCGATAAAATATCCAGTATGCATTTCGCTAAAAAATATCAACATTATGATAATGAAATAGAAATTAGCGAAAAAGGCCAACAATCGAGCAAACAAAGATATAGCAACACAATTGTATGTATAATTCAGTATACCAAAGCGTTTCAACTTCTTGTAAGTCTTCTTCAGTCGCAACTACAAATTTTCAAATTATAATTATTTCATTAGTCCTATTTAAAGAACCTTTCCCTTTCCGGTTTGAGTCATGGCGGCTCAAATTCAAAATCGTTGTCCGAAGCCATCGCTATTCTCTTGACAATCCTTGATAGATTCGATTACTGATGAGTCGACAATCATGTGATCCTTTTCAGTCAACGTTCCGTCAGCAACTGATGAGATCCCCCTCTTTTTCGTCTTTTAACAATATCAATGATCGACCACAATCGATAATAGCGATTGTTTTCAACGGATCAAATTATATTTCAGTATCTTTGCTCTTTCTCTGTTGCTCGTTTATTGCACCTTTATTTCGCTAATTTCTATTTTATTCCAAAATACGGGCCAATATACAATGTTTATTATGATAATATCAACATTAGATATTTTATTGATAAAAATGTTTGCGCATAATTTTTCTCGATAAATATATAGTAATCTTTTAATATACACCAGTGCACAGAATAGTATAAATATCCAAATTCGCTATATGTATATATATATATTATGTCTATAAATATGCACTCAACATCCAACAATGATATACGATTGATTGTAGAATGGACCTAAAAGGAACTAATTGGAGCTAAGTTTATATGATAATGCCAGGGTTGCCACAAATTCTTAATTCTAAAATTCCGTGACTTTTCCCTGACTTCCAGACAAAATTTCATGATTTTCCCTGACTTTCAAAAATATTTAAAAAATCTTTTTTGTATGTTCGTTTGATTTAAAAACTATTTAGAAACCGTTAAATATTTTGTTGAGAGAGCAATTTAACATAGCAATATAAATTACTATTACTGTTGACATTGCTTGCACTTAATTCAATTAAGTTGTATTCCTTTATCTTTTTCTTTTCTATATGCGTTCATTTTTTTTACTCTGCTCATAATACAAGAAATATGTAAATATATTCTTTTTGATAACTAAATCCTGTTTATTGGAATCTCCGACTTGCTATTATACAAAGATTTACAAACTTGAAAGAAGAATTACAAAAATGTAAAGTCAATTTTAATTTTATTAATTTCTTCACAAGTGGCACAAGAAACTTACAAGTTAAAAAAAAACAATTTTAAATAAATTTAAAATTCCAACAAAAAGTAGACAAATTGAAAATTATAATGTTCTTAGTGGAGCATTTTAAATCTCCATTAAAAAGAAAGCTTACATTAGCTAACAAAACTGTACAAATGTGTAATATACGCATATTAAACTTCTTTGAAGCTAAGAATTTTAATTTTCCAGAAAATTTTGTAAAATTCCCTGATTTTTCCCTGATTTCCAGTTTTGTGGCAATCCTGCATGCGTTCACAATATGAATTTGATTGTATCTGCCAATCATACATAAGATCAATTTAAATCTTGAATACATTTATATGTAGCGGTGAAGATCATGTGTCAAAATCCATATATTATATGATTATGCATTACAAAAACAAAACTCACAAATTGAGAAGTGAAAAATATTATCTTAATTACAATTAATTTTTCAAAGGGGGTCCCATATACTCTAAACTAGAAGAATAAAAGTCTGGCAGATTGTCTACAACTGATAATTGAACTTCTTCGATTATATCTATCGATTCTGTACACAACTTAGATTTAACTGTCTTAAAAAACGTACATGGTCTTGTTCCCTTGCCAAACTCATCAACGTCGTATGGTGGACTGAGTATGTCGAGGAAAGCTGCAGGACCTTCCACGCACGAGATTTCATGAAGGTTCTTTTCCGTCGGTGTAAAAGTACAAGCGGCCGAATTGCTATCAAGACAGACAGGTCGATGTCTGACTGCTGCAATCTCCTCTTTCGCTTTAATTACATGATCACTCTTTGTCTTCAAGCTGTAGCTGCTTAATTCTACCATACCACTGATCACCTATATTACAATATCTATGTTATATTACATTGATATTATTGTGTATGTATTGTGTATATATATCCCATGAAGAATATCCCGTCCAGACAGACACCAAATTGGATTTTGAAAGAAAATGCAACTTTGAATTTAACAAATTTTTATAACTATATATTTATAAATGCTTCCTTATAAAAGTATTTTTAAAGAATTTCACATATCATACTTTTGAAATTGTTTGTTACATTGCTTGTCATACATAATACAATTAAATATTTCTAAACAAATTAAAGTTTACTCATATCAATCGGTATAAGAAAATAATTGTAAAAAGACTATTGGATTCTATATAATATGCAATATTAATATTCTATGTATCAAATATATTTTCATAAGAATTAAGAAAACATTTAACGGCCAAGAAACGAGCAATAATAGATTTATAAATAAATAAATAAAATATCTTTTAATGTCAAATCATAAAAATGTTTCAGTCTTCAAAAAAAAAAAATAATTTTATCTATTTATAAATATATTATTGCTCGTTTCTTAGCCGTTAAATCTTTCCTTATTGTCTTACAATACACCAACTTAATTTTTTATTTTCATTTTATTTTCATAAGAATATTTATAATATTACTTTCTTGTTTTTGTTAGACTTCAAAGCTTCAAAATATTAGTAGAATTATAAAGGTAAGTTTTCAACAATATCAATTGTAAGTTATTATTCGTTATTTATAAATAATTAAATTTATTCACATAGTACATATCAAATAATATACATACAAATAGATACATACTTTAATTGCGAGTAATACACTATAATTATTGGCAAAACGTGATTATGAATAAAAAAACATAATACATACAACATAATACATACATTTTTTAAATAATAATCTTGTAAAAAAGCATTTTTAATTATAACTTGTTTGAAATTTTTGTTATTCAGTTATATTTCCTATCAAATTTTAAGTTAATGTTCTTGAATTTGAAAACAATCTATTACACTATTAATTTTCATGTTTTGTATAATGTTTACATAAACAAAAAAAATATATATATATTATAAATATTTTTACCTTTAACAAACCATGCATTCCAGGATGATCATGCATAGGCATCCTGACTCCATGTTTTAATATGAAAATCGCAATTGTTATATCCTTATTCTCAAATATATCCATCACACACATAGGTGCCGGTTGCCTACTAACGTAATCGAGAATATTCTTATCGAGTTTTACATCATCGGCTGTTATCTTATTTATTAGACTCAACAATTTGTCCAAGTTTTTTTGACAAAGCCGGCGATCGCTGAACGTCTTCAGTGCTTGTTTTCCCAAAACTTCGATTGCCGATGCCATGATTAAATACTTTAATATGTCACTTCTCTCTTGAATTTTTGATCATCCAGATCGACGATCGATCACAAAGTATTTATGTTCAACCATATATCTGAAAAAGATATAACCTACAATAAGCAAAAAATATTTGCATGTCTAATATTCTTGGAATAACTTTAGAAAAAGTGACATAACGCATTTTAGTATAAGATATTAGTATAAAGCTTTTTTCTTTATAATAATTTATTATATATAAAGTATAATAGTTGCAGCAGTAAGATTTTTGTCATTTACAAAAGAACAAATGTGAAGAAAGTAATTTATATTAATTCCTTATCTGCAGAGAGTAATTATTAAGAATATTTAACATTCCGTTTATATAAAATGATAAGAAAAAAGCCATATTTATAAATGCAAAAAATAATAAATAGCAATTTTGATTGGTTAAAATATGTTTGAATAAATCATTTTTGCAAGAATGTATGATCTCGGAGACAAAAATTCAAATTTAATATTTTTAGATTGAATAAAAAAATTGTGTAAAAGAAAATTGAGCTTTAGCAGATATTAAAAATCATTAAACGTAATGTGAATGAAACTTATTATTTTCAATAAAATAATAATTTAAAACCAGAAAGATATAAAAACGTTATTATTTAATGTTTCTACACATCCTGATGTTTTCTCAATTACTAGAATTTTATTTAAACTTGTAAAACTTGTGTACATCTACTAAATTTGGAAAAGAGAAAAGAATATTTAATAGTGATAAAAAGATATATAAGAATATTATATACTATATAAGAATTATAAAGAATTTCATCAGAATCTATAAAAAAGATTTGTAAAATACTTACGTCTCAAAAAATTATACGATATTTTAATAAGAGCATATAAAATTCTAAAAATGCATATATTTACAAAACAATAATCCATATAAAAATTAAGCAAATATAAATTTAATAAATAATTACAAACTTATTATATATATACAGTTATGAGTCATAAACATAAAATCTAGAAATTTCTATTCAGCTATTATTTTTGATATATTAAAAATTCTGGAAAGAGTACTGTTTTTATGTATATAAACTATTTAAAAAAATATTTTTACTTAACACAACATTCTTTTTCTTATAAAATTGTTATAAAAAAGTAATAAGATATATAAATATCACTATACCTTATTTGTGTTTATCGATGAAATCACAACCTCAATTACTATTCATAACAATGCCCGTTAACAAAAAGTTAGAAAATTTAATCAAGTAACTTTGAAGTATTAAACGCTCAATATTAAATTATTCTGCACATATAAATCTTAAAATAATTTTTAAGAAGACACATATTGAAAAAAACAAGTAATAATATAATGCAATTAAGATTTGACAAGAAGAGATTTTAGAGACCTCTATCGGAGACGAATTTCTGTTCAATCCATAATACAACCAACTGGAATAGGCACAGTCTACAATTTGTTCTTTACACTCTGAACTTAAAATGAAACAGATATATTTTGAAGAATTAATATAAGTGAGATAGAAGGTTTTCAGTGTAGAAACCATGAAATAAGAGCAAGGAGACGTAACTCTATAGATTGGAAGTGGTCACGTTGTAACCGGAATCAATGCCCGTTTCTATGAAATCGACAAATTGGTAATCTCTCTAAATATGACCATCGGACCTTTTTCCCCGAAGACCCCTTTCGTCAGCGCACTTATCGTACGCCCGCACGGTTCTTGATATGCCGACTCTAAGTGCCAAATTTACTTTAGATATTCTATCCAAACGAGACTGACCTAAGTACGTTCGTACAACGACAATGAGCCTTACCCTTCTCGTCTTAGATAAATGTTAGACTTACTGCGGTCGCCACCCTGTTTGACCCTCAACAGGGAAGGTAGTTTTCCTTGGATCAGCCGCCCAGGTTTGCCGGATCCTCGTCCTTCCTTCTGGTTGGCGGCAGTTGACGATATTCTCGTTTTATGAGTTCGGAATGTGAGCGCACTTTTGTGAGGTCCGCAAAAAAATTAGACTTTGTTCGGTGAAATGTTTATAATATTTATTTTGAAAATTGAAACGCTCACATTCACGCTTACACGCACTCACTCTCGAAATACCGCGCACACGATCGCTCGCGCTTCGCGGATCACGCGATCTCGCCTTTCGCCGGGAATCCCAGCGATCGGGGATGCGCTTTAAACGCAATTCGGTTTGCGTCACTAAATGCGCCGCGGAAACGACTCGGCCCTGCCACGACCGACACAGCGCTATAACGCATAAAAGATAACCGAAATCGCGTATAGGGTTTCAAGAACACGTCTTATAAAAGCGCGACAAACTCGCGCTAGATCCGTTTCGGGATCGAAATCTCCGTACTCGCGACGTCCGATCGAGATGCGTTTTCGTCGGTGTTTTTAACGC